TTATATATGCAATCCGACCTTTAAATGTCGTCTTGTAACTGTGTTTTTTATCTTCAGAATTATGTGTGAAATTATATGTTCTTGTCAAATTTGTGGATTTATATTTTGTACCTTGCTGTAAAACCTTAACAGAACAATCTTATATTTACACCCAATTTTTTGTAAGGATATTTTTTTCGAAATTGGTAAACGTATTAACTGATATTTTACCGTACAGTTAAGCATTGCAAGATTTTATTTGAAGACTAGATATTATAGATGTTAACTGAATAGAATATTTGGAAATATGTATATCTTTTTACAGAGCTGCCATTTATTATTTTCTTTAAACAATTATCTGAATGTACAGATTCTTGTACGAACTAGTGAAAAATTACCGTAAACCGGGGTTACTTTGACATATTTTGAGAGGTTTTTGTGGCAAAACGCAAAAAATGGCTATAATGGACGCTCATTCTATCTCGTCGTACCACTTGAAGTCTTGGCTTGAGAAATACACTAAAAGGGAAGCCCTAAATTACCAGAAAAATTTTATACATTTTTTTAAAAAGGTGTCAATCTAGCCCCTGAGGGAGGGCTACTTTAACATGACGTTTATATTGTTTAAAAATCAATGATAGCCATCTGGCGGGTTTCTTTGACACCCATAAATTAAAAAAAAAAATGTTTTATACAACTTTTCTTAATAAAACAAAGGTTAAATTTGAAAAAATAGGTTATTTATTTAATAATATAGGTAATCCTATATAAATAAACTTATTAAGAAACAAGAAACCAACAAAAAATAAACATTCTTTTCTATCTTTGCACAAGAATTAAAAAACAACAAAAAAAACATAGGAACTATTAAAAAACACATTAACAAAAATGTTTAAGTAGAATAATCATCTTCGCACCGCTCACATTCATAGGATACATTTTTCGAGCCTTTATTGCAAATACCACATACCCACTTGCAACAAGTGATGCAACGAATCCATGTCCTTTTAAGTTGGTAATGACGAAAATCAACCTTACAAATAGTGCATAAATTACCATCATCTTCGTTTGAAGAAGTGTCAGAGGTGCGCAGACTACAATCTTCATTTGTTACCCTCTGTTTTAAGACACTCGAAGGCACATCGTCCTCATCTGAGGAGCTGTCGTTTTATTCTTTTAGTTGATGGTTTTCTTGTTAACCCAGGGTCTTCGAGGGTCTTCTGGTTTTGTCCAGAACATGCAGCTTTAGCGATAGCTGGCTAATTTTTTCCTTTGACCATGTCAAATGTTGGAAGTAGAGCCTCACTAATATCTTCGTCTGGCACAGTGTCCTCTACTCGGATGCTCTCATTGTTGTTTACTAGTTGAGCCCCTGCTTTAACAACGAATTTCTTTTCTCTCTTGTGTCGAATTCTGTCTTTTATTAAAATCTCTTGTCTCTTGCAGAAATTCAAGGAAACTGCTGTCAAGGATCCGTGTTGATTCTTCTTCATTTTCCTTTGGAAACTTTTTCAAAACAGCTTGGGGATCGAACGGATACATTCCCGTGGTTCTTAAAGCGCTCTGTAGATTTTTTTGATATTGGGAGCAATGGCATCCATCAACTTTTGTAATAACACTGGAAAATTCTCTTTTGGTATAGACCCTTTTTTTCTGGATTCTTGCCTCCATTTGTTAAGAACTTTACGCCATTGTTTTTTTCAAAGGTCCGTACACTTCAACTTCGAGCGTTTGAAGCAAGTGTGTTGAAGATGGTGCAAGAGTTATAAAATAAATTTTGTTATCCACCGCACTTCTGATAACTTCGGAAGAAAAATGTGATGCCAAATTATCTCCGATGACGAAAACTTTTTTGTCTCCTACTCTGAGATTGTTAACGTGCAGTAGAAGTATTCTGAAAAACCAAACCTCAAACAGATCCATGTCGAACCATCCAGAGAAGCTGTTTCTGTAGAGTGTTCCTGGCGGTCCGCCCTTGGTCCAATTTTCATAGAGATTTTTGGACTTATATACCACCATAGGAGCAAGATTTTCACCTTTAGCAGTGTCACAGAACATCAAGCTTACTGAAGACTTAGAATGCTCTTGAATTCTTTTCACACGCTTGTGACCTCGTGGTACGAGGACTTTTTTGGTACCAGGATCGTTTGAAATATTGGTTTCGTCATAATTATATATCAAATCTGGACGAGTCCCTTCTAATGCAGATCTCATATTCTCAAAATATTCTGTGATTTCGCCGTGACCCACTGATGCCCGTTGTGGTTTAATGTTTGTAGCTAGTCTGTTGCTAAGATTATTTCTCTTTGCGAAGGCGTCCACAAAGTCAGGACCTGGCATATTACCATTCCACTGAGCAACATTTGTACCCTGCTTTGATACAAATTTATGCACGACCTCGCGACTATATCAGCCTTCGTAAATGGATGCCCCCGATAGGCTACGATGCCCAGTGTATCTGCAATTAGTCTCTCTTCTTCGGGTGTCAAAACTGTATGGTGACCGGGTTTTCCTTCATGTCTACGATGGATTTTGTTCAGGAGGGTAGTTCTATTTACCTTATAGTGCAAAGCAGCGGCTTTTAGACTAAGTTGCTTATTTTAAATTGCTGCAACAGCTTTGACACGGTCTTCTTCCTTGTAGTTTTTATAAGGTCGAGCACCAACCTTTCTCTTGTAGATTTTAACCATTGCGATTTGTTTACGTTTAATCTAAAACAAAATAAAGTGCCTAGTACCATTTTTTTTTACACAAATAACAATCACATGCAAGATCCAAGCATAAAATAAAATACTATTTATAGCCATAGAAAAATTATGTCTACTTAAACTACAGTAGAAACAACAATGTTGATAGACTTACCCAAGTGGTGCCAGCGCAATCTTAAAAAACACAGAAAAATTAAGAAACGCTCTAAAGGTAGGTACTTTACGGTGAACGCCAGATGGCACACTGGAGACCGTTGTGGCTAAAACCTGTTGGCGCGCTCTCGATCCCTTCCGCGCGCTCGAACGACAATTCGAGAAAACCGTTGAAGTGAAAGTAGCCCCTAAAGGTGTCAAAGTAACACGTAAAGTCAAAGTAACCCCGGTTTACGGTACATGTCCTAATCAAAAAGCTAAGAAAAGGGAAAATATTAATTTCTAAAGCGTGTTTTTTAAAAAAATATTTTTATACCTATTTTTTTTTTTATTTTTCTCATCATTTTGACATATGTTAAACTCTATCTTAGCTTAAAGTACGAATTTATTTACTTAAATTTTGCAGTTATACTATGTTTGTATTTGTTTTCAATTAGAAACTTTATTAAAACTGACAGCTACTGCCAGAAATCTATTAAAAAATAGTTGTAAGTTTTTTAACATTTCACTAATATAACATAGTAAATATATAGAAACATTATTTTAAAATACCTACAGAACCAATTGATTTAGTTTAAATGTTAGTAGCAAGTACTCAGATTTTATAAAAATATTACGATTTGTTATGAATTAGTTTCTCTTCTATTACTGACCAAAGGATTCGGAAGGATCATTTTTGGCAAACATTTACACATTACCAAATAATATATTTAAATTAAAAACAATTGTTAAGGTTCTACAAAAAGGCTAAAATGATGTGATAAAATTTTATCAACGGTTTTATAACAAGCCACAAACGCCTTCTCTGCTTTAGGTAATAGGTTTATAAAAAGAAACACCACTTTCTAAACATATCATGATCTGTGCCCCTTTGTCAAGTGACATCTTAAATTGTAGCAATTAATAAATATTAAATAATAATAAAAAAAAGATTTGATAATATTTAAGAAATGATTATGAATTTACAATATAATGTAAGAACAATCTTTTCGAAGTTAAGTTGAGAATATTTAAGGAAATGCATTACTCGAATTTCTATTCAAATTTCTTGAAGTCAATATGTCATTTAGCCGTAGTATTAGGAAAAACATATTGCATTGGATCAGAAATTTTTATTTGAAAATTATAACCTAGATAAAGTGAATTCTTAAGAATTTTCTCTAATATAATTTTTTTCAAAGAAAAAAAAATATATATTTTACTGAAAAAATAGTCTTTAAATTTTAAATTATACTTTTTTAAATATTTTTTTCTGTATATATACAGTACGTCGCAATTTAAGAGAATCAAACTTTTTATATTAGTTGTTTTTTTATTCAAAATTTAACTAAACCATAATAATAGTTTGCAAAACAATATATTAAGCAAATCATAATATTAAAATTAAAGAAAACAGACCAATTCAGCTGAATACTAGTTCAGAGAAGAAGGGACCAGAGAAGCCATATGTCAAGTCTAATTAGCATATTCGATGAAAGCTTCAGACTGAATAGAAAAATATACAAAACTTTTGTAGTTATGAACCTAAAGGAATATTCTTAATAAAGTATATATTGGACTGAGTGAAATAGGGATGCAAATAAAGAAGCAAGCTATAAACGAAAGCAAAAAATTTAAATTAATATGCAAAAAATGAAAATATTAATTTTCTGTAAGGCACTTACGCCTTACAGATATTAAATCATACAAATATTTGGAAAGTAAAAAATAGGAAGACTTAAAATGTACATTTAGAATAAAAACTAACTAATAAAAAAGTTTAATATTAAAAAAAAACTCCAAACTTTAGAGTAAGTACAGCCCTTTATGGCTGGGAACAATTGAGGGGGTAAGAAGTAAAAGGGTTCATGTGCATTTGTCATTGTTCTGAGATAATTAGCTTTAAAGTTTATTTGTGTTTCAAAATTCCATTTAATATGTATAAAAAATATTTTTAGTGAATCAGTTAATTTATATTTCTGAAATAATATTGGCAAATCGATATTGTGTAAACTTTTTTTAGTTATTGTTTATTTTGCAAAAATGTACTTGGACCCAAATTAACACTAATTATTTTTTCTGGTAAAATGGTTTAAGTGCATTTTAAGGTTATAAAAAAATTTTATAATCATTAAAACAACTTTATTAATAAAACATATAGCTTAATCATAGTTATTTAAGTTATTCATAGTCGGATTCCAGTACTATACTATCTTCTTCAACTTCATCGTTCGCAGTATCTGGGACCGATACCTGTTGTGTAGTATTACTACTTGAAGCTGCAGACTGGGCGTCATGCTTTAAATTTCTGTAGCACGAATGATATAAGGGGGGACTGAAGTCTAAGAGGCTTATAAGATTTCTATACTTAGCTGTTTTAATTTTTAATGTAGTAACATTAAGTGGTTTCTCAGATTTAATGTATTCAAACCAATAAATACTTCTCCATTTCAGAATTTGACCATCTGTGGACTTTCTAGGTTCATTCATTATGTTATCGAGGGTCGAAAAAGAATAAAAATCTTCTGTGGCCATATTATAAACATGGAATTTTGTAGATGAGTTTTTTATTACCTCTTGCCATTGTGTGGAGACAAATACCTGGGGAAACAAGCGTTTTTTCTTTTCAATTAAACCAAAGCTCCTATCGCACTCCATATATGTATGGCCAGGTTCAAGTCACTTAAGATGAATCTCTATGAATGTCTATAGCTGATAAAGGTAAAATACTTAAGAGTGGTGTTGGCAACGTTTGCTGTAAATCGAAACAAATAACAACAGTTTTATTATGTTATGAAAATTATCACAACGGCTACACGTATCGCTGTAGGGTTTGTGAAATTTTAAGTTAAACTCTGTGTTAAAGACAAACGTGGAATATAATTCTTTTACAGGCTCCTCTTGTTACAAAACTCTAAGTACTTTTTGTACATCTTATTGATAAATCACCTGATAAATATCTTGCATTTGGATTATCTTTTCTCGAATAATGACTGGCATATTTAGGAAACATTCTAATATGGGTAATTAGTCTTCTCTTTGGATGATTCCGTTTTGTTTGGAGGTTATGTTATGTTAAGAGTGGGGTGTTAATATAAAAGATCTATTGTGTCCCCTTCTGTCGCCAATGCACTAAGAAAATATCTCAATGCCTATAACGACCCTTCCAATCCTATTTTCTCAAGGAAGTGTAGCATTTGAAGTGGCTTCAAGTTAGGTAAATCTCCCTCTTCTATTTGTTATCCTCCTAGATATAGTGCCCTTGGATTCTGGAGTGCTACACATTCAGTTAGGATGTGAATGGACGTTTCGTCCTCTTCCTTAAAGAATCTGCACTCACTATCCTCTACTACTCTCAGTTTACTTAGGTGTCCTTTTAGTCGGAAATGCCCAGTAAGGATCTCTGTTACAATACGTAACCTGTTCTTGTTCAGGCAGTTGCAGGCTTCCGATCTTTTCTGGTTATATTCACCCAGAAGTATCTTGGCCTGTCTCAGCCCCAAGAGATTGTTCCAATTATCAGTTCTTCTAGTGTCCAATTCTTTTTTAATCTCTCCTAATATTAAGTTACTGCTGATACCGCAGAACGGCTCAGGTTCTACAAAGGGTGTTTGAGCCCCTTTCCTTGCAAGACTATCTGCAATCTCGTTACCCTGTACCCCGTTATGTCCCGGGACCCAAGTGAGAGTAACTCTATTTTTCTCGCCTAGCTCGTTCAATTAGGCATCTCCAGACCATTTTTGAGCTGATTTCGTAAGAGCTCAACGCTTTAATGGCTGCTTGGCTATCGGATATGATGATAATCTCTGGTCTACGATGTTAAACCGGATACACTTCTTAAGACGTGAATTCCCTCCTGTAAAATGTTTTGGTTTATTCCCAAACTTTTAAAGTGCCTGGTTCTAAGCCCATACACCTCTATGCTTTTGGAACCATCCATATACCACTGAATATCATGTATTTCGGTTGCAAGCACGATATTCTTGGCTAGCTCTGTGGCTTTGAAGTTTTTCACTAAACTGTACTTCTTTCTTATTTTATCCTGTCGCATATCCAAAGTATCCTTCGTATATGTTTATTTCCAAATATTTGAATATTTCTGCCCGTTCTGTAGTTTATTTTTATATTGTTTGCTTTGTCATGACTTGTCTATGATAGTTTCTCTCAATGTTAAACTGGATACACTTCTCGATGGCGCGAATTTCCTCCTGGAAGATGCTTGGGTATTTTTCCAAGCTTTCGGAGTACTTGGTTCTCGGCCCATATACTCCTATTCCAGTTCCTTCTATGGTTTTGAAACCGTTCGTATACCACTGAATAGCACGTCTTTCAATTGCAAGCGCGATGGATTCTTGGCTCCATTCTTTCTTGCAGCCCAGCTCTGTGGTTTTGAAGTTTTTCACAAAACTACTTCTTTAGCATTTCATCCTGGGGCATGTCCCAGGTATCTTTAGTCCTGAAGCAAGTAGACTTTCGTCTAATTACTCCGTTCCTGATCATTCTATATCGTGTCCTTTTTGCCACATTCTCTATCATCAAATGTAGTGGGGTGAGGTTTAAGATCACCTCCATTGCGGCCGTTTGGGAGTTCTTTCATTCCCCGTTTTTGAACTTGAAATCGGCGCAAACTTATGTCAAAAGTGCTTAAAAAATATCTTTTATATACACGCTTCCCCAACAAAGTTATAACTGTGCTATAATGTTTTTCTTTAGCTGCGTCTGTTTTGCGTCTTTTTGGTTGAACCTTCTTAATGAAAGAAGACAAAAACGCAGTTTGTAGGTCGTAAGTTTGTAAATTTTTTAAACGACTTTCGACGTTCTTCATTAATATTTTGATTGCAATGAAAGTGGCAGTTATGATTATATACCTTTAATTCTCTACCTTTTGAGGTTTATTTTTACTACCTTCGGACTCTCTACCTTCAACGCGCAGCTTTTTGGCAACATTGTCTTTCCAGATCCAAGGCCTTCGTTTTTGTTTTCTTGTTTGTTTTCTTGTTTTTGAAGGAGTAACGTGTAAAATTTCATCTGCATGGCTATCATTTGGGGTAAGGAATTGAACCACGACATTAAATTGACGTAACCTAGCTTTTTTTAGCATTAAATTTTTAATAACCTATATTTAATTATTTTTTCAATGTTTAGGTTACTTACCGTCACTTTCTCGTCACTATCTATTGAAAAGTAAAAAAAAAGAAAACAATATTGCCAAAACTAATCTAAAGGCACTAAAATAAACACTGTACGTTATTAAGTTTCACCATACAATAGCAGTATCTAATTTTTGATTACGTTTTGCTACCAGATGTCAATAGATTGACGAAATGTACTTGAATCTTTACATTACCAAATAAAAATAGCTTTTAACTATAGGAATATGTACTTAACTCGTTTTTTATAAAATGTGCACTTAAACCCTTTTACTTCTAACCCCCTCAATTTAAAATTATTGCCACTTTAAATAATTATTTTAAAAATGATTTCATTGAAAATACGACACACTGTATATACAAATTAAATTACGTTAAACTAAAAAGTAGGATTTTTAAGTAATGATTCAGTTACAATATATAAAATGTCAATAACGTAATAACATTTAGAAATTATTATAATTTTTTAAACTTAATTCCGATCTGATGTGATGGAGTAATAGCATTTGCTTTAAATTGTTTGAAGGTGTGGTGAATGTTCAATTTTTATTTCGAAATGCTTTTATTCAAAGTGCTGATAACGCCGAAAAATTAAAGTTGCATTTATACAAAAAAAAATAGTATTATAATCCTCCTCTAAAAAAAATTACAAAATATATAAAAAACAAAGTAGATATCTATTAACTATTGATGTTATGGTTTATTTGAAAGTTGTTCACCACTCATTCTACAAAATAATTTTAAATCAAATTTTAAATGGATGTTGAATTTGTAATATGTACTTTTAGAATTTCTTTTTGCAGAAACCAAAATCTTTAGGAACTAATAAAAATTATCATTACTTACTAAACCGATTTGGAATATAAAAATATGCGGTGTTCTTAAAAACTAAAATCTAAAACTACGATATTAAAAAACTGAAATACAAATTTCAAATTATATATTTTTGTCTTGTTTAATATTCAACATCTGATTTAAAATTTCTAGTAGCTATGGATTTTAAATTGGAGACTATTAAAATAATTTAATTCTCTCATTTAAACACCAGCCTTTCCGATTTGCTAACCACTTCAAGCTCCAGCAAAGGTGGTTGGGACAATCTGCATGATCAACTGCTGAAAGATTTATTAATAAATCAGCAGGTGTTTTATTCACAATATATTCTCATGAGATCTCTTCGATTACCAACCATCTCAAGCTTCAGGCAAAAGTGGTTGGACAGTCTGCTTAATCAGCTGCTGAGGCATGATTTCCGTATCAGCAGGCAATGCAACAATTAAGTTGAGGACTTCTATCCACAAAAAGTTCTCGCAACTTAGCCTTAGTAGTCCTGTCGACCAGGGAATGCATATCTTTATATTAATAATGAAAAATTTGTAGGCATACGTCGTAAATAAACTTAGTTATATATGTAAAATGTGTGAAAAATTGTTGGTCTAGAATTTTAAGTACAATTGAACAATGTATTGGGTAAGCGACGACCTTTGACCTTATTCCCGGGTCTGTTTTATTGTTGATACTAGTCAGATAAATGTATTAAATATCCCAACCCCACCATCTTGCCCCCTCTGATTCTGAAAGAAGCATTCCATACAAAGATTGTATTACCTGACAACGTACTTAGATTTAAAAACATTGTATAGGGTCCAAAAGATGGGAAATAAATATGTATTACATGTTTTTGTGTTTATTTTGTCTTACCTCTCCTCTCTTATTACTTAAATTTTTAAGTGTTCGATACCTCTAGAAATACACTTTCGAGCCGAGGTGCTTGAGATGTTTTTCATATTACTTGCAATTAGGCATTCCCAAAGAGCTCTTTGGTTGGGCAATACTGTGGGCCTGGTGATTGACAGGATCAATCATATAGATTGATTATCCATGTTTCTAAAAATAAACATAATAAGCATATGTCATAATGAACACTTGCCAGGGAATATGGCCGCTCGCAAACTATCCGCTTTGGCTACAGATGTATCATTAACCATGTCGATGGCAACAGGCGCCCACAGGTGGCGCTTCTGTACCAGGTCGACAGACTAAAGAAAGTATATCTAAAACGTCGATATAATAGAAACGGAGAGTAGGGAGATATGGAAATATACAAGTCAAATGGGGGTACACTGACAATCTATTGATAAATGATGTGAGTGCATTTACAGATAATCTTGAATATTCAAAAGAATTGCTAGTGTTTTATATGGTTAATTGTTTAAATTTGCGATGTCTATGATTTTGTAATATAGGAATTACAAAATGATTCAGATTGTAAAAAGAAATTTGATGCTAGATTTATTGTAAAATTAATGTTGTTAAATTTTTATTATGCAGTGAGGGGAAATGTAGGTTGAAATAAATTCGATATTTTTCTGTCTAACAGTATGACGTTATGTTTACGAAAGTAGTGACGCCGGCGCCGTTAGTACCTCCAATTGTAGCGTATCACGTGCTGTTGGAAATGAAAATTGACGTGTAAAAGCATTTGGTTAAAATACGGTTAGAAAAATATTAAATTTATTCCAACCTATACGTTTTCACTGAATATTTATGTGTAAATGTTACGTTGATCAGCATCGTAGCTAGGGACTGGTCCCGGAGGCAGATGCCAGCGACGCAGAGCCGCTGGGGCACAGGCACATTAAGATCTTACCTAAAATTAAAAAAAGCCTATGCTAATTTGCACTTAAATATCCCTGCAGATATCACATTTTGAAGTGTTATTTCAAATAATTGTTTTATTATTGTATCCTTCCTCACCCATTTGATTAAAATTGTAGTCACTTTTTATAAACTTTGAGGAGTGGAGACAGTAATCCTCCCCAAGGACATCCCCTCACACCTTTGCTTACTATATATCGTCTCTCACATATAGTATCATTCTCCCTCTTAGCATAGAGTTAATCCAGGTCACACATGTGTCCTCCATTCCTATCCGATTTTCCCAGGTTTTGGTATAAAAGTAACCCTAATGTGTCGCCATTCTCTTGTTATGTATCCAAAGGCCAGCCTACTTCTGAGTATACTGCAGAGTATTCTGTATAAAAAATATCAGGTCTTCTTTGTAGCATTATTGGAAAAATCCCGTCGATTGTCACAATCATTATGTTTTAGGGGGCGCAAAATTGAAATCTTGTCTTGGACGCTCATGATCTAAGCTACGGCGCTGACGTCAATGGCGGATGGTATTCCTCGGATCGGCACAAGAAGTTACTTGAAATGGCGCCGCGCCAATTCTTTTCAAATTGTTAAAAAATCAAGAAGAAAAAATTGAGGCGACGCCTATCGTCGCCAGTTGGATCGGCCAACCGGGAAATTCCCGTTGGGGCCATAGGCCCCTGGCTGATGTTGATTTTCATTGATAAGTAATTTTAATCCATTGAATTTGCCATGACTCTTTTATTTTTAATTCAAAATGTTTTTCCTATTATATATTCTTTATTATGTATGTTTCTTTTAAATATTCTACAATGTCTTTTATGCTTTTATTATATCTCAAATTGTATATTTTTCATGAATAAACACCTCGTTAAACTAATTATATCCTTTTATTTCCTTAATATTAATTTTAAAGCTTTGTGGCAACACAGAATACAAAAATGTATAATGTTGGTTGCCTATTTTTACAAGAGCCATATATTCATGGGCATGCACACATGGGATGTATGCTGTTAAATGCATTGGCAACCAATATTACGCATTGGTGTATTCGATGTTGCCTATCAACTACAAAACTTTTAATATTTAAATAATAATTACCATAGAGATAAACGGAAAAAGAGCACTCAATCCAGCTACCTTGTATAATTCAGGACAACGTAAAATTAATTTCGATACCTACTTCTTCTATTATCCTGATACAAAGTTCCAAATTCGAAAAGATCCAATTTTGCCAATAACATTTTGATAACAGAAGAGAGAGTATTTTGAAAGGGGCATTTTCATGCAAAATACCTTGTCGCTTTTCTGTTATCCTGATAACAAAATTTTATTAACGAAATTGGATCTTTTGGTATTCACATTCAAAAATACGTCGAATTACGTTACCCCAAATTATACGATTATTTGACAAACAATTTTTTTGTCTCAGATCTTGATGAAAATTGGGGTACGTATAAAGGAAAGCACGAGCAATTAAGGGGTGAACTCAGTTGCTCCCTATCTATAAGAGTTAACTTTTTTTTGGTAATTCCTCAGTTAATAATGATCGAATTATTCCATAAATTCACATAATGGTAGAGCCGGACGGATAGTTTAAAATGCCCTTTGCTGCTTGCCTCTATCTTGCGCCGTTTAGTAGTTATTCACATTTAAAAATAAGTCAAATACCTTGTCGCGTTTCTGCTATCCTCGTACCAAAATTTTGTAGACAAAATTGAATCTTTTCGAATTCGGAACTTTGTATCAGGATAATAGAAACGCGAGGAGATATCGAAAATTTTTATTTTGGCCATAACTTTTTTAATATTGCTGTCAGAAAAAAACTGAGTATATTTTTAAGATCTACATGTGACCCTCTATCCGTATGCAAATTTAAACAATTTTTTATTTTTTCGAAAAAATCGAAAGGGTATAGCCTTCCAAATTTTTTGACAAACAATTTTTTTGTCTCAGATCTTGATGAAAATTGGGGTACGTATAAAGGAAAGCACGAGCAATTAAGGGGTGAACTCAGTTG